TTAGTCAATATAAGTGTACTGTGTTTGTTTATCTGATCTATGCGCGTAGTAGATAGTTTGTAGATGAACGATGGTTCTATTGTTGTAGTAATTTAATAAATAAACACTGTTATTAATGCTGCTTTTAAGTGACTTTAATTAGAGGGAACAAAGCATTTCGCCTGGCGACTTCCCTGACCTGAAAAAAATGCAGGAACTTTTGGCGTCCCAGGATTTTTCCAAGTTCAACCCCATGAAAGTGAAGCTGATCGAAATGGTGGATGGCATGCTGGCTTCTGACATCGGTATGGTGACGTCAGCTATTTTTCGGCACAATTGTCAGAAGTGTGTGTTAAGCGTATAATATTTTGTAAATATATGTACTTGTCGCTAATTAGTTTCTCTACCGAATTTATTTATTTTACCATACATAATTAAGTATACTGTGGAGTAATTTTTCTAGGAACGTATATAAAATATGTATACGTCACATGATTCAAATTAATGGGAACCAAGTGTAATGAAGACATGCGTGAACATCGAAGTAGAAGAACTAATATAAGATTAGAAACGTGCAGAATGACAGTTATTGCATTTTGAAAGTAGCATAAAATGGTTCTTTTCTACAGTGCTTTCCGCTCTGCAAAATGTCTTCTGGGCGGTGGTGAAGAAGTGCCGGTGACAACCTGTTTGAAAAACTGTCTAAACAACTCAGAGACTGATGTCTGGTTTGTAAAGCAAGTGAGAGGGGTTGAACTTTGTTGTAGAAATTTTTTACCAATCGAATTTGATCAGCGAATGCGGAGGCATCAGAGAACAATGCGAAACGGGGCAAGGAGCAGGACTTTCACAAAAGCAGCGAACAGCGTCGATCGTGAATCTGAGACCTCATAATGTATGCAGATTTGTAGCTCATGCTTTGTTAACCTTAATGATAAAAACAAGAGCATGAACCTGTGCGTGGGTCTTAGCTTGGAGCGGGCGTTCTGCGGCTTGCAGCCTTATCGTTCATGCATCGATCATAAGGTATGCGGCCTGATGGAGGAAAAATCTAAAAAGTACTGTAACGATTCGTGTGTCGTAGAACTGACTTCTTTGCTACTTTGATACTCAGTACCAAATTGCACGCAGAGCCGAATCTGAAAGAAAAATCTTAGGAACTTTCACTCTGTACGGTCGTTGTCTACACATAGAAGAGTTAAAATACACAACAGTGAAAGAACTTAGATTTAATTTACGTCTCTGACCTGAATACATTTTACGAAAGCGCTATGACTAGCACTTCTTTTAGCTTATGTATGCCCACTGTAAAGCTACATTGTCGTGAAACCTTTATTAAGAAGTCCCCTTTATGAGGATCTTAACGTTTTTACCAGTGTCTCAATACCGATATTTCAGGTCGTCTTATGAGGCAGATTCCAGTCGAGGAAGAGGTTAGAAATGATAAGCAGATGGTGAAAGGTGGAGCGTTTATGAACGACGAAAGTCCGTTCGGTTTCGGCAGGGGAGAAGGTGTCGACGCCGGCTTCGACGAGCCACAATGGATTGTCTACAAGGAAAAATATAAGTACGACGAAATGTTCGACAAGTTGAACCCCGTCGATGGAAAACTTTCAGGTAAAGTGGCTCTTTTATTGCAAACATTATCCCGTCATCGAATTGTCTCCCTGTGGGTTTTTAGGCGCGGTGGCGAAGTCTCACATGATCAAGTCAAAGTTGCCAAATTCTACGCTTAGCCGAATATGGAAGCTGTCAGACGTAGATAAGGACGGCATGCTCGATTCCGAAGAATTTGCACTTGCGAACTATTTGATCAATCTCAAGCTGGACGGACACGAAATTCCTCCGGAACTGCCGGCACACCTCATTCCTCCTTCGAAGAAAGGTTTTTACTCAGCGGAAGACTCGTAGTTTCGACGCCTTAACGGTACAATCAACGGATTACGTTACCATTAATTCTGAGTATTGATTGCTCGCTGTTCAATATTTGTCGTCGGTTAAGATCTTGAATATTTATTCTTATTGTTCTTAAATTCTGTTCTCTTTTTTGTCTTGATTACG